GCTGTGTCTTCTCCACATACTGTGCTTCTCCGAGAAACACGACAGCATGGGAGTAGCCAAGATATTGAATGAAAAACACTAGTCTTGATAAAACAAATATTGTCGCTTGTATAAAAGGAAAAGAAGAAAATAGAGAAAAGAGCAAAAGGAAAAAAGTCAAGAAATAGAAATAGTTAGTGAGATTTATGAGAGACGACGACAAAGAAGATGCCAATCTCTATCCACTGTCTGCCAACTGCTAAACCAACTTTATTACTCCTAGTCCTATATTGGTGGTTAGGAGTAACGTTTTATTTGAGGCGAGGCCAATTAGTGGATGCTAAAATCGACTAATCTCCAAGTTTAAAAATAACAAAAATCTATAAATAACTAGTTTTGTAGAATGTATAATAAATACTCTTGTTTCTAATTACTTGTTCGCTTCTCCTTCTTTTAGTTGTTTCAAATTATTTGTCAATTTTGACAAATCGACAATCTTTTTACATATTATACCATTAATTAATTACTTAAAAAAAGATATAACTTTTTTTTAAAATCTTAAGTTTTTAATTCATCCACTTCATAATTAATAAGAGCAAAATGGTAAACTTATGATGTCAATAATTATTTTTTTAATAGGTATGTTAATTCAAAAGTAGATAAGTAATTAGGGACAGAACGAGTAATAATTGTAAACGGGCAAAAATATACAAACTGCATCCTCCATAGCAAACTATAACTATTCGGTCTTATTATGTCTATTATATTTTGTTATTTCTAAAAATTTCTCATAAAATAATTACTTTTCTTCCATCGTTTAATTTGCTGAGATTCCTTAAGTTGCTTTTTTTTATACTATTTTGATTTTCTTATAACGCACGCCGAAAATTACTAACATTGTCATAAGCTGTTGTAAAATGAACAGAATCTTGATTACCAATTTCTTATTTTTCACTCTCTTGTTATTTTTTAAACTTTATCTGCATGGTGATTTTGAGTATGAAGATGTCATAATTTTAATTAGTACTCAATTTTTGACACCCTAATTGAAGTCTGCACTTCAATCGTACTAGTGCTGCCTAATATTATTGGCTCACTTTTATAGGAGTAAGTTCTAGTGGGGTTTCCTTTTCACGTGGTGGTGGGACACACTTTAATTTAATGGGACTTAATTAAAAAAAAAAAAGGAGCAATTATTTCTCTTCAATGTTTCAAATGGGAACGGCGCCCCCATTTTCTGTACAACAACAGTTAGGTAAACCTATAATTAAGGGTGCCATAAAATTATGAAAAATAAAATAAAATTATGACTCACCCAATTCTTATACATATTCTTAGATTGACTCGAGTAATTTTGTCTAAATATTTTTAAATAATATTTTTTTATAATCATAATATAAGGAAAAATATTTTATTAAGTACTTAAATAAATTATAAAAAAATAAAATTTGTATTTAAAATTTAGTAAAAATTGAGTAGATTGAGTTATGACCTAATTTTTAGCTCATTTCAGCTTAACCTGCATTACCTCATATAACGTTGAAGAGGATCAATGTCCCACCCATTTATCAACTCAATCACTTTTGACATTTTCAAATTTAGCTCAATCCGTTCATTTTGACACCACTCCCTATATATAATGTTCAAAACTCCCGATTGCGTACACGAAATTCAAACATGACGCTTCAAACACAGAAAAACACTCGGCAATTTAATTATAACCACGTAGAAGTTGTTAGGCTACAGGTGAGACATGAGGTCAGCATCGACTTCAACAAGGTTTACATGAGTTTGATTAAATTAAGGATAATCCGCTGCTTCATTTACACCAAACTATATTATATTATCAATAACTGGAGGATAAAATAAGGTACAAACGTAATTAGCAAATCATGGCTAGGTAATAGAACTTGAAAAGTGCATAAACGTAATGTATTTATAATTTGGTATATCGAGTGCAAATTTTTTAAAAAAAAAATCATTGCCGTCATCTATCACATGACAGTAAGAAACATGTTTTTGCAGCAAATATTATCAGCGAGAAATTCATGCCATAGCCTTTATTTGCGATAAGAGATGATTTCCACCCAAATTTAGGCAACTCAATAAGCGCTTAGTTATGAAAATCAAATGTTTTTTATTTTATTTGAAATTTTTAAAGTTGAAACTGGAGTTGTGTATCGTGATACTTTGTTAGAAAATTATTTAAAATATACTTTTTTTCTCATCAAACATGCATTTCCCTCGAAGACAAAAAAAAAACACTGTTAATCCTTGTAAATTGTTCGTCAGTGCTATCAACAACTATATCATGTTCATACTCTGAAAAATTCTCATCACTGCTTTTATGTTCCCGCCAATAAATTATGTAACACAACAAGCAATTACAATCCTAATTTGTGTGTCTACATCATGATTGTTCATGCCTTGCTGTAATATTCTAAATTACTTCTCCATAATCCAAATGTTTTTCAATCACATTGCACAAAAATGAATGCCTACGGTAGTATTATAGGCATTCATTTTTGTGCAATGTGATTGAAAAACATTAGGATTCATACCTTCCCAAGCAGCTGCAATAAACGTAAACCGCATATCAAAATCACATGCACAAGGGACATTTTGCAAAGTTAATCCTTTGTGGTGGTTAAGACATGCCTGCTGCTTCTTTCTTTGGAGCTCCCCTTTACATACAACATAATTATACCAAACACGAACATAGAACTGTTAAAGCAGGACAAACAGATGGATATAATCAGCTTTTCAATTAGTCAACAGTATAAACAAACTAATAGAAAATATTGCACTCTCCATTTATAATCTTACAACATTGAAAATTAAAGACTTCTCAAGTATTAACAGTAAATGCTGAATTGATAGCTTAAAGTAAAGCCAAAAACAACTACTATGTCAAATCTTTAGATGTATACCGGACATAGAAATGTTGGTACCAGTTGACTAAATGCTTTAGCGACTCTTCTAACGTGTCAATTAATTGTCTCAAACATTCACTTACCAGCGATGAGTTGTTTTGTTTTATCATGTGGAACATGCATCTGAAACTAGTGTAAGACAAAAGCGGCTATTATCCGAAACTGGAACATGCATTGTTGGATGGTCGATTGGCAACAAACTGTTTGGTTTTATCATGCGGATAAGCCGACAAAATGTTTCAAGTTAGAAATTGTTAGAGTTTTGCCCTGATTTTCTTACTATAATTTAAGATTTATTTTTCCTTAAAGAAAAAATAAAACATTACCATAAATATTTTTACTTTTCTTGAAAGGAAAATATAATATTATTTTATATTTGGTTTATTCTCTTCTTTAGGATCCCTTTTCTAGTAAGAAAAGGTTTTAGGACTCTATAAATATAGGTTTGTTTTCTTCTAACACATAACAATAGCATCCACAATGTAGTTCTTTAAGAGTTTTGTTTATGGGGGATTTTCTCTCTACAGTTTCTATGTTTTTTGATTAGTTTTTAAATATGTAGGCCAATTGGTCATATCCTACAATATATATTTCTTTTAGTATAATTTTATGTGTCGTCTAATTTATCATTTTATGATTTGCAATTGTAAACTTTCGCATGACGCCCTAATCACCTTCAGAACCCAACAGAAACCTGTAGATTCATATATACACGTGATATCCCCAAAGAAGATCAACAACCCAAGTCATACCAATCCTGGATGTATGTTGCCGTGTGCAAGATAACGACCTATGTTCTTGGCGATCTATTCACACTGATCAGAAACTACAACGCATACGATGTAATCCTCAATGTCGTGTCTGACTCAGTGACACTACTGGATAGGCTCATATTATTTCCATGGACACATAAGCAACCTGCGAAAATTAAAAGAATACAATGTCAATACTAATAGTACTGGACCAGATAACCTAACGACATGCACAAATAATGAAACATGACTAAAAGAAATATCATGATACAAATGAAGATATTACTGAGGATCCTACACCAAGTAAATTATCAATAGAGAATTGTTACACATAGATAATCATTACACACGTATAAAGTTGGCATTTCTTCGCAATAGAGTACAACATAACCAATTAGAACATTTTCTGGCCATATGGACAAACATCTTGCAAAAGCCGAGGTCACGCAAGTGAGTCACAACCAAAGAAAATTGCTCATCATCAATACAAAAAAATTTCATGATATATTGCAATTGGGTAAATGACGACTTGCTCAAAGTAGATATCCATGTCAAAAAATTATTTTGCTTCCACCTTGTCTTTCTTCCACTTCGAATGTTCCCTAAAAGAATGTATGCTGTCAATAGCTGTAGCACGACCTTTTTTCGACATGTAGACGAGCCATCATCAATTGCCATAGATTGATCAGTCATAGTCCACTTTCCTGTCCCAGTACCACTACTTCTGACATGCGTATGCCAAATACCATCAGAGTACTCATCACAAGATAGAGGTACTTTACCCACTCCAGTTGCTTCATTTGATTGTTGTGTGAAAACAAGCATGGCAATGTTTATGTTTTTTCTCTTTTTCCGTAAAATATTGAAAACAAAATGTTAGCTCAATGTGCAAAAATAGAACATACATACTTTCACACCTCTAGATAACTTACCAATACATGATCCGCCCAAATCTCAGATGACGAGTACCTCAGTTATTTTCAGGATCCCAACCATATCCAGAGCAACCTTGAAGGATGTCCTCAATTTTTCTTTTTGTTTCTATCCTTAATCTGTTGCACTTGAACTTAATTGGGTGTTTGTATGTTTCTTACTTGCCAGAGTTCATCCAAAACTCATCTATAACTTCCCTCCAACGTGGACCATTAAGGGTAGAACCATTAAATACATACTTCCTCGCATCATCATGTAAGATATGGATTAGAATCATTGCCTTGTCTTTTGTCCATTTGTCGGAGTTTGAACCATGTGGTTTGCTCATAACAACAATAAAAGTCCCTAAAAAGAATGGATCACAAGGTCAATCAGGCGGTCAATGTAGATAATATGTTGTTGGAAAAAAGAATGAGCCAATAAAAAAGAAAAGCCCTTGAAGTAACAGTAAACTCTTTCTTAGAAAGAGATGATAATGATAATCATTGAAGAGCTCCTCATCTATCCCAGGCAGACATTGTATCTGGCTGATAATGGTAATTATAGAGGAGTTCCTCTCCTGCACAAATTATTTCTTTGGCAAATATATCAACTCTGTGACACCGGCCGCCATAATAACCTGTCAAAGAGTTAATTGAGCATTATTTAATCTACCATAGACAAACCAATCCAGGGAATGCCTACGAAAATTTCAGCAATTACCTTGGGGTAGCAACTTGGATCAGGGACTGGTTTGAGATCTTCAACTTGTCACTCTTCCACCAATAAGCATCATTGTATAAACTACATGTACACAAGACAAGTGATTCACGTAAGACTACAGCTGAGGCCCTACCCTATGGAGTAACTTAACAAGGTATGAAGAGCAAGTTGCTTCTCATGCCTGATCCTTTAAATTGAAGAGAAACAAAGAACTTTCACGATCCATAAATTATTCCAGGCTTATCAGCTTCATGGTGTGACATTATTTCACCAGTATGCTCCCCAAGGTTCTCATGCTTTCCATCACCATTCTGTTAGTAATGCTAAACATGAGCCCAAAAATAACAAGGATGTAAAGACAGAAAGAAAAAGCTTAACACCGTTCTTAGAGATTACCTACAAGAAAGCACCCCAGCCAGACACATCAGATCTTCCAAGAAGAACCTGCAAATTAATGTAAGGAATTACAATTAGCCTAAATAAAGCTGGAACTATCCAACCTTCATTTCTACCCTAAGGGAAACCGCAGCTGCTACCCTTTAGGTGCGCACAGGGTTAAATAGATTAGATGCTTTCATCTCTGGACTACTTTTTGAGGGCATATTTGAGCTTAGTTCTTGCTTTTCAGTTATCTTTGTTTAGGGAGCGCATTACTCGTCTTCTCATGCATGATCTTTACGATTCTTTCAATATTAGAATACTTTTTATTTTTACCCTTCCGTAGGAGCTCCGTTAAATAAGTTTAATATTCATCATATTCAAGAATTTAGGAACACCCATGTCTATAACAAAAAGCAACACACTTAGGGGTAGTTTGGTAGGGTGTATGTATTAGTAATGTTGGTATTAATTATGATGAGACTATTTTTTATGCGGTGTTTGATTTGGTGTACTAAAAATAATATGCATTGCATAATTTCTTTTGAAAAAATTGTTCAGAAAAATACCCTCCACAAATACGGTGGAAAAGGTTTAGAGGGGCAATTGTATCTTTAAAAATGCTAATGCATGCATGGAAACCTCTTGCATTGCTAATACCATGGTTTTTCATGTATCAATTAGACATAGCATAATACCAAATAGAGTGTATAATGTATAGCTAATGCAAGTTGAAAAAGTGTACCAAACAAGGTATTAGTAATACACCAAAGTTAATGCAGACAACTATTTTACTAATGCATCCTACCAAATGAACCATAGGAACAAAATGCAATTCATATGTTGGCTAGTTAAATAAGTTTAACATTCAGCATTTTCAAGAATTAATATTTTCTTCAATTTTTTTAGAATATATTCTTAATATTATTTATGTAACTTTTAAGAAAATTATACTCATTGACCTCCTTCAAACTAAATTTAATTCTATAAAAATTGTTATACATGCAAGTAATAAGAATAAACAAGAACACAAAATAGTCATTACTCTTTCAATCTTTTGAATAAAAGAACATTAACTTGATGAGGCTTGGAGTTCCAAAGAAAACATAAGCATGGTTGCAGAAGAAGTTGTAGCAAACAAATTCTCCAACTTTGCTTAGATATCCTACTATTTCCCTCCTTTTATCTTCCAAAGTCTGATTTAGGAAACCTGCCACCTCCTACCAACAACAGGTACCAGATAACTCTATCCGCCAAGGCTAGGACGGATGAGAAGAAATCACCTATTTTTTTTGTTTTCGACTTCATTGACCAATATTGGTCACCTCAATTGTATAACAAAAGCGACGATTTTAAGAAAGCTGTACTTCTAATAATATTCGCTAAATGAAAATGTTCGTGTAAGTAACTATGAGGATTATTGTTAACTTTTAATTACTTCCTAATTAATTTGCTTTTCATTTTATAACAAGGGCTGCGACATCAGTCACTTCCAATCACATACAAGAGGCTATCAAATTAACTAACACAATTAAATTGGAGAGGAACCACAGAAGTAGGTGCAGAAAGAGTGGAAGAAGAACATCTCTTTTTGTTCCAAAATTAGTTAGTTTTTTTTTTTTTTTTGATAACCGAGCAATCTCCCAGTGACCCGCCCCTTTGGACCAATCACAGCCTTCTAAACTCGGTGGATAATGGGTCCCCCCTCCACCCTTCGCCACTTAAATACTGGCTTCGCTTTGCATGGTGTGGACTTGAACCAGTGACCTAAGCCACAAATCCTCCACCTTTTGCCACTTGAGCTAGGCATTGGGGGCAAAAATTAGTTAGATTTTCCTAGAATGTTAAAAAGAACTCCTATTTTTTCATATACAATCTCCATTTATGTTTTCTACGGTTAATGAAATTTGTAGGTATATTATTTTAATTTAGATGGTTATGATTTCATATAAAGTTAAAAGAAACCAATGACATTGTTTTATTGCCGAGATTATAGATTTCCGAGATAAAAGATTTTTATTGTTGGAATTAGTCGAAGATAACTTTTGTTTTTCAATATATGATCCATGTTTATGTCATCTATTGTTAACAAATCTGTAGGTATAATGGTATATTATTTGAATTTAGATGCTTATGATTTTATGTAAAGTTAAAAGAAACCATTGCTGATATTTGCAGGATGTATTAAAAATATTTGCATTAGCGTCAATAATAATTCAAAAAAATTCCAAACACTTTTAAAGATGTCGCAAAAAATAAGCTAAAAACATATAATGCTGAAATTTGATAAAAGTCATAAAGAAATGTCATTATACGTTTAGCGACATCAACCTATATTTTGGAAATTTTAATGTGACATTTCACAAATGTCATAAATAAATGTCGTAAATTTTTATTTTTTTTTATAAAGGTGAAGTTGAAATGTCGTAACTATTTTACCGACATTTACTTAGATGTCAGAAAATTTCCGACATTTATGCCAAATGTAAGACAAATGTCTTAATACAACATTTGTTGCAAGCTTACTTTCTTGTAGTGGGTGCCTCAGGCTTCCTTGCCCAGACATGTGGTGTATCTGGCGCATAACAATAATCATAGAAGAGTTCCTCTCCTGCACAAATTCTTTGTTTGGCAAATATACCAACTTTGTGATCTCCACCAGCCATAATAACCTGTCACAGAGTTAATTGAGCATTATTGAATCTACCATAGGCAAATCAATCTAGAGAGTGCCTACGCAAATTTGAGCAATTACCTTGGGGTAGCAATTTGGATCAGGAGAATGGTTTGCGAACTTCAACTTGTCACCTTTCCGATAAGCATCAAGCACACACTACATGCACACAAGACAAGTGATTTGCATCAGACCACAGTTGAGGCCCTACCCTAAGGACTAACTTAACAAGGTATGAACGGCAAGTCATTTCTCATGCCTGGTCATTCAAATTGAAGAGAAATGAAGAATTTATAAGATCATAAATCTTTCCACGCCTATCAGCTTCATGGTGTGAGATTATTTCACCGGTATATTCTCCAAGGTACTCATGCTTTCCAACACTATTCTGTGAGCAATTCTAAACATAAGCCCAAAAATAACAAGGATGTGCAGATAGAGAGAGAAAGAGCATAACTGTTCTTAGATATTACCTTCAAGAAAGCACCCCATCCAGACACATCAGACCGTCCAAGAAGAACCTGCAAAAATTAATGTAAGGGATAACAACTAGCCTAGAACTGGAACTTGAAAACCTCCATTCTTACACTAGAGCAGCTCTAAAGTCTAAAGATAATACATGAATAGGAAGGGTGAGGAAGAAAAGAGAGCAGCACAATTTTAAAAGCCTCACAAGACCCTAAAGTGAGATGATACATTATTAAAAATTATCATTTATTCACTTTTGTCCATTACAATGTCTAACATGAATAAAAGGTTCAACTAAAAAGACTGGTTAATACCCGAACTTAAAATACGATAATGCCAAATTCAAACTTTATCCATCTAATTAAACTTTGAGAACAGAGGGAGGACATATAATAATTATTTGTCTTAGTGGCAACCTCTAACTTGGAATAAAAATAACAAACTACCCTTCACAAATAAATAGTGATAATTACCCTTTGATGTTGTTTGAGAAGAAGCTTCATGTTCTCGCAGTCATTATTGTCACCTCTTTGTGGAGGAATATCGAGAGTCCCATCACCACAGCTGCAAGAGCCAAATAACATAGACATGGAAGCTTTATAACTGAAAATGAAGGATATTAAAATGAACAAATTATGTGTTTTTTGATTCATTTACTAGTTATGTGGGTTTTATAACATAACGATTGTTTATATGTGGCGACTAATAATGAAGGGCTGTTAAAAGTTGGTTAATAATGGAGGGATTGTTATACAAGAATTACTTACATGAAAAGCACATGTTGTCCTTAAACGCTTAATCCCCATTGCTTATACATGCATTTTTATTCTATATTATGTCCCGTGTATATAATAAAAATAGATTTCTGCATAATTTAGTACGTGTATTATTTAAAACTACCATCCAACTGTTGCATTAGTGATGAGATTGTTTTTCTTATGCAGCCAACCTCACACACTTGTTTTCTTATACAAGATTTTATGTCACGATTAACTACTCCAATACTACAACAAAAAGACCTTTTAACTCTTGATGAAACATAAATTGATGTCAACATTCACACTCGAGCTTGAAAAGCTTGCTCCTCAGTTGTCACTCGCTCAGCAATAAATAATTATCAGCCATCAAATAAATCAATAAGGTTGGTCATTTTAGGGAGAGAAAAAGCTAGAGAAATGTTACATAGATGGTTTGGTTAAGTATGGTAGATGAAGATAACACGGCGAATTTGTCTTAATAGCTTATGCTTTTAGGAATCAATTGATCGCACAACAATAAAGTTTTGCATAACTAAATACAGTGTCTAATTTGCAACATAAAATTATGCTTTTTACGCTACAAGTAGACAGAAAATATTTGGAAAATCTTCAATGATTTGAGGGAAATCAGATGGGTGATGCCAATGCCAGGAAACACAAAGGAGTTAAGGAGACTAGATAGTTGGGATGAGTAGGAATTTTATCCAACCAGAATGAGAGATGGAGGATTGTCCCAACATATATTTTGTAGGATATAGAAACCAAAGGTGTTTCGAGGATAGCAATGCAATATCTAGAAGTTGAAGATGAATTGCTTAAGCCTTTATTATTTTTGGTGTAAACAGGAATGTTAAGTAGAAACTAGAGATATTTTTAATGTTTTAGACTACATGTAAGAAACGAATAGATGGCGAGTTTCCTCTATTTTATAATTGTCTGTTTGGAAGACTATATGGTTGGTATAGTATACTTGTTAATATATAGAATGTTACCATTATAAGAAAAACATAAAATAATGATTACTAACATAATCTCGGAAAATTTTCATATAAACTTCTGCATAACCAATGTGGCATTTGATTTTCCGTAATAAACTCTACAACAGTCTATTCACTATTGTATTATTTCAGCCTGGGAGGAATAGTCTAAGATAGGGCCAGCATGGTCGGTGGGGATTCTTACTGACAATCTCAAGTTGGTAGGATTTGAGGCGGAGTAGTCTAGGTCTTAGAATAAGCCTACGCATATTAACAATACATCAATAAGAGTACTTATCAATAAAATTACCTTTAAAGTAGATATTGTATAACGACCCCAATATTATTGTTCTCAGCTAACAACCTCACACTACCATCCACAGAATAGCAGTCCCTTCATAATTATGCACCGCGTATCAAACTCTTCTTAATTATTCAATGCATAATAATTCATATATTACAGGCCTTGCATAACTAGTCCCCGAACCAAACAAACCCTTTAGTGTGTTAGCTTGGCACAAGCAAATTAACAATCATAGTTTAGGCTGTCGATAAAGTAGAGTGAGAGCATGGAGGGGTGATACAAGATCTCAAAAACGCAAGATGAATGGAAATTAGCAACCACTAAAAACAAGAAAGTACACCAAAGATGGGGAATCCGAGGACACAGATGCTCATAGGCACTAGAAATACTTCCAGTTTGACACTGCAAACTTATATCACCAACTTTCAGGAAATAGATAAAAACAGACAATAAATCCATAGCACTACCAGGAGCTCACCTGATCCAACAATTTCGGCAAACATCAGGATCGCATTCCCTGTCAACAGCAAAGCAAGGGCATTGCCTGCTTCTACACTGACCTTTTATGCAAAAACAACCACGAAAGTGATTCTTGCAATTCTTGATACTCTTGCATCTAGAATATAAGAATGACAAAGCATAGAAGAAGAACTAATTAATATAGGCACAAAACTGTGATTAAAGAGTTGTTTAAGAGACCAAAAAAGAAAAAGACGGACAAACCCCAGAAAACAATAAAAATGGTTTAGCACTGTGGATTTCATAAGAATAATTTACAGCCCAGGTCCCACATTATTATCGCACTGGAGTTAGTCGAGAAGAATGCTGTCTTACCCACAATATTTTTCACAGGGGGTCCCATTTACGATACAAGGACACTCTTTTCCACAAGGTACTTGACAATTACATGGATTATAGTGACGGCAAAGCTTGTCTTTCCTCTGAGATATTCTTTTCCTAAGTGCATTATATCCAGCTGATTTCCCTGTGTATTTTAAGCGGCGAACTCTACCTCTTCTATGTAAGAATCTAGATTTTCTCCGTGGTTGATTACCCTGAAATTGAATTCAAAACAGGATCAACTTAAGTGGGGGTAATAATAATATTACTACTGTTCAACAAGAACACAAAGCAACATGCTGATGAACAAAGTCAATATACTAACCACGATTGTATGGCCATCACCCTTAAAAGAGCCTTGAAACATTCCATTCACCCCATCACTTACTAGGGATAGCTTATTCTCGGAATTGTTCATATACTGGAACACCTCCCAACAAGTTTTTAAACCATTCAGCAGATTTCGAGCAATCATGCAGCTGTATGACAAAATAAGGTGCTCAAGTCAGGTAAATTTTGCCAGCTGTGGTCTAGCATTTTCATTCGTCTAGGAGAGCATTGACAAGTAAAACAGGAATTGAATGCACACACAATCATCAAACATGAAAAGTCCGATTGCCATTTCCAACTTAGTTCGGAGGAACTTAATGAGGAAAATTTTGCAAGTTCTAGTTTGCCTATTGAGAACTAGCATGAATTTGATTAAAAAGCTAGCACAACAATTTCTTATTAGACAAAAGTAAGTCAGTATTTGAGTGAATGATTTATGAAGATATTACAGAAGAGATAGTGTTGACAAACAAGGTATACAACGTCAAAGAACTGAGAAGAACAGGAGTAGAATTAGTTGCAAAGAGTAATTTGAAGTTAACTGACCTGCTCCGACCAAACATTTCCAGACCTTTTTCAAAGAGAGCCTTTTCAAGTGGTCTCCATGGTTTGTCACCATCTATTTCTTGATTGCAGTTATTCTCATCCCCAAACTCATTCTCCCTCAATGTGTCGTCGTGATTCATCCCATTTTTTTCACTGGCAGCCTCTTCATATTGGCAACCAAAACCCTCACCTTGCAAAGAATTTTTACTGCCCAATACTGGAGAGACGTCCCTCCTAGAAGTTCTACCACACTGAGGTTGTTGTGATTCTAGTGAACATGAACCAACATCTTTGAAATCCTTATGTGAATTAGAGTGGAGATTCAAGTCTTTGGACACTAAACTTCCAGAAGCTATATAGTCAGACTCCACAGCCATCAGATTTATTTGCCGCTTTTTAGTGGCAACTAGAACATTTTCAGCTATTCTCTTGGTGCTCCCCACTTTACTATCAGATTTTCTGTTAGATGGAGAAGCAGAACGCTGAACAGTAGTGATGTCACATAACAGCCTAAGCTCTGAACCGATATTCTCAGAGATGTTCTTTGCAATCAATGAAGCACTTTCGCTTTCGCAAGAATTTGATGTCCTTGATAGATGCTCCCTACCAGACACCTCAGTATTATTAGCAATTTCAGATGGTCGGACATGGTTTTCTCCATGATTAGCAATCTGAGAGGGGGTCAATCCAGCTTCGCTTTCCTTCTTGATGGCCAGAAATGAGTAAAAGAGCTCAGAAGGTTAGTAGGTATTGTTGCCACAATAGGAGTAAAGAATAAGTACATACCACTACTAAGAAATGATAGTTGTTTATAAAGGAAACGATTCAGGTCAGGGCCAAATTGATGTCAACAGAAATTACATAAAAGAAGGGGAGCAAGATACCAGGCGATAGCAATTTGAACAACAGGGCTCCTTATCCACGTCGGGAGAGCACCATGGCAATTGTTTTTCAGCCTTATGAATGTAAGGAGTAAAACACACTATAAGAATCTATTTCGAAGTACAGAGTTCTGAGATACTAAAACATTGGTTAAATAGCCATTCCATACCGGGAAAATCAGGTCCTGTGAACATCCATGTGATTGACAATCAAAAACCTGCAAGTGAGGACAAAACGAGAAAAAGGAAAGAAGTATATTCAGAAGGAAAAGTATGAAGCAGAAAACAAGCCAGGAGTTAAAACAACAGATATATACATACAAGGCATCGACGACAAAATAGGGTGTCAAAAGAATCTAGAGCAGCATCAAGATCATTGTCAAGAAATAAATCTGGAGTCCCTTGGATGTTCTCGTTCTTTGAGGGGCATTCATGTTTGTCCTTAACAAGATCTTCATATCTTGCCTGTATAAGATAGACACTGGATTATGATTTATCTCTGTAATAAAGCCAGAAAAACCAAATGGGAAACAGCTGGACAAGAGTTCGCATTGTGAGCAGTTTTATTTGATAATGAGAAATTAATAATAGAGTGTAGTTTGTTTTGTTTTTTTATAAAGGAATAACAAGGAGTAGTTATTCTCTAAACGAAGTGTGTACCTTGACTTCACTGGGTTTTCTAGACAAGAACTGCCCTAGCAATTCTAACACTGTATCAGACAGGCCAATTTGTTGGATAGTTGAACTGCAAATAAGTAAACAGTGATACATCATCTTAGCCACATATTGGATTAGATAGCACATTATATGAAAAGTGCCAGACAAAATCTACTTCACCGGTATTTAAAAGAACATTTAGCAAACAATCCAGCAACAAATAGCAGACCATAATGAAAATCTTATAAGCCATGCTCCAAGCTCAAGACCATGTGAACCCTTTCCGTATGGCATGCTATATTCCAGATAATTAAAGATTTAAACATAGTTCATATGTACAAGTTGAAACCTCCTAAAATGAGTTTCAAAGGGCATCTTTGTGAAAAAAATTAAGTTTTTAAGGAACTGCTTTCTTTAATTAATTGATCACAAAGATGGGTGTCAAGAGAAGAGGCTAAAACAGAAGAGATCTGTATTTGACATTAACTGAACAAAGATCTATATTACATTTAGGACAGCGTAAAATCTGAAAATGGTACTGAGCTCATAGTTCTAGACAAATAATAGGTAAAATTACTACTAAAGAGAGACAAGAATAGCAAATAATGTATATACATTTAAGAGTACCATGACATATCTAGTAGGTAATATTCTCTATCTGAATATGGAGCTCGACCCCAGGAAAAAAATGATCTGATTGTCATGAGGTGATATGCTAATGATCTACCAATGGCAAAAAATACCCTGCTCTAAGAAACATGATGTTGTGGATGCAAGGAAGTCAATTAATTTAAGTATTTAATTATATTTTAAGTAGATTTATTTATTATTTTTTTATAATTTAAGTAACTTTATTTATTATTCTAAAATGGAGTTTATATTTCATAGTTTCATAAGGATTAGGTTAAGTTATAGTTATTAGTTTGGAATAGGATTTAGGTCTCCTACTTTCGTAAGAATTAGACTTCCTATTGATGTAATAAGACTCTTATTTAAAGGGGCTTTTGATGAATAAATCAGTAAGTCATTTTTCAGCAAAAAACAAGAGATTAGATTTCTCTCGTCCATTTGAAGAGCTGAAGAGATCGGAGTTCCCTCTTTTAATGAACTCTAAGATTTCAGCCTCCCTTTAACAAGATCGGAGTTCCCTCTTTGAATGAACTCTAAGATTTCAGCCTCCCTTTAACGAGCTAATTTATATATCAAGATTCATAACACATGACACCATTGTTTCATGTGGAAAGAATGTTCTGATTGATGATTCTAATACAGTAGAAAGAAAAACCAAAATATAGGAGGGCACAATTCAATCCAGTACTTTATGTAGCTTAATTATACCAACCGCAGCATAACATCTTCGTACTCTACAAACTTCTTTTCTTGTTTGTCTTCAAGTAATTCTTCCTCGCTATCACTGCAAATTAGAGCTTCTCCACTATTCTTGTCATAATAAATTCTTCTACAACCAACCACTGATTGATTCACGGGCATCTCCTGATTTCTGCACAAGTCAAAGTAGGATCAGAACAGTCAAAAATAACAAGAAAACTCTTCATCTTCAACAATCGCCAAGGCTATAGTCTAGTGATTTAAGTCTGATTCTCCCACACAATAAGGGAGAGGGGATACGTTTAAGGAGATAATAATCTTCAACAAGAATGATGAAATTTTAGAGTGTTGCCAGTTTTAGAATCGTGATTTACAACATTACTGGAAACTTAAAATTAAAAGACAACACCAAAAACAAGAAGACTTCCACTCTCATTGGAAAGAAGCTATAGAAGGAGAGAAGGATGTCAATGCCATTTAAATGGTTTCCTCCTTGGCGGGAATAACTTTGAATTTGTCATCCTTGTTCAACTGACATCCCTTCCGAGAACAGGCATAAAATGAAATCCCATAGTGCAAAATAAAACATTTCTAAGGCCTAGAGGATCAATAATTATACAAAAGTCCAGAAGCAGATGATTTTAAATTCCGATGATGAAAAACACAAGACACTAAGATCAAAGCCACTGTAAAGGGTGAGCACAGGTGATTCAAAATTGCACTAAATACATCCCTTGTATGATCAGATGCAACAGTTAACACCTAAAAAATACTCAGTAAGGAAAATAATTGTAAATTGAAGATTATCAGGAAATATATGGTTAGACATTCATGAGGTTCAATAGCATGCCATACTGATGAAAGAACCTCAAATTTCATATAGGAAGCAAGCTAAATTAAGAATATAAGGAAAAGAAGAGGCACAAATCAAACTTGAAGACCACATGACTTGTCCATCAAGGTAACTTAACATACCTATCCAAAAATACCCATGTAGTATATTGAGGCAGTCTTTCCACTTGAGGAAGTATAATGGGACATACAGCACTATTGACAGCAATGCTAGATCCTAGACGAATTTCAGAAGAGGCATATCCATCATCTTCACAACTATTGCTATCATTATCTCCATTGCTGGAACCAATCCGAGTTTGCATATTAATTACATCCTGCTGTCTCTTAGACAGAAGATCAATGCTAATATCCGCACCATGAACTATAAGATTTTTTCTCTCTGTTGACAACTTCAAAAAAAATTCCCCCAAATCATACGCCTTTTGTGCATTCTCTTCTGTCCTTTTCTGGAAGTAGGCAAAACAGATCCTTGGTTGTACAAACCTTGTAAAAGCACCTCAATCGAAATACACAATAAAACATTGAGGGGAAGTGGGAGAAAACTAACTATTCATAAAACGCACCTTTACATAATCAGCACGTTTAGAAGTGAATTGTCCCTTCAAAGATTCAGTAACTGATAAGAATTCATCAGCTTCTATGGTTGTTCCTTCAGGTGCATCAATCTGTCCAAAGCAGTATAGCATTGGATGACATAACAAGTCACAGAAGGAAATATAACTATATAACTAAGGGTAACAAGAAAATGGCAAACATTGAGAATAAGATTGACAAATAGTTTTCCTGTCCTCAAAGTCAAAAGTGCAAGCCACCAGGACAATGCAGTGAGCAGAAAGGAATTGAGAATAGGAAAATAATTATGAGAAAGACATTGGTGGAACAGAAATATGGTTCCACACACCAATTGTCAATAGATGTGGTAATAAAATGGAACCCCAAAACATAAGAGACTAAGAATCTACACACACCCAACTTCCAACACTATCATTTTTTAGAGCTGGTCTCTTGTTCGCACCTCAACTATTGCAACACCATCATTATGACAACCCAATTGCCAGTGTGATTTTTTTTTTTTGAGAAGGTAACATCTCAATTGCTGGTATTTTTAAAAGTGAAAAGAAAAAAAAAACATCATGGGCCTTGAAACGAAAAGCGAGAAATGAAGTGCATTATTTTTTTAGGCGAAGCGCACAATTAAGTATTAATAAGTATCAAACAGTTATGAACTACTAAAATAACTAATTATCGCATCAAATTACAATAATGCTGGTATTAATCGATTTCTTGATCACTTCTAGTTGTGATCACTTTGCGTGTCATTTTCTGAAGCTTACACCTTGTTTTTTTCTTTTATAGATAATGATAACGGATTGTATTAGAAAAAAGAATCAGCACTAACCAAGTGCAAGAAGTGAAGTAACAAATTATGCAATTCACCAATCATGTCTGAACTCTTAAGCTTACACTTTGTTGAAGTTCATGACTTCAACTATGAAGCTATGATCCTCACTATGCATCACTTTAAGTAATGAAACAATGGTTTTAGATAATATCGTCAAGTATTAAACACCATATTTGGAGGAAAGGTTCACTCCAGTATAAATAAGTCCAATCAAGAAATGGGATAGGCCACCATACTCTATGAAATCAAATGGAAATGAAAGACCAACTAGAGAGAACAAGAAGAAAACTGCATTTAGTGATGCGAGTAACCAAATTTCTTTTATGGATATATTCAGCCCATCGAAAATCCTAGGTTAACAAGCACAATCCTACTACCACTGCAGTGTGACTTACCAGATTATCCTACAATGCAATTGGAATCAACTCAAAGCAGTCGAGTTAATCAAAACAAAGAATAAACAATCTTATTCATAATTCAACTAAAATCAATTGAAAAAAACAGTTAACAAATAATAGGAATAAGAATTTTACTGGAAGATCAATGGTAAGTTGACCAATGAGAATTGAAGAAGTGCCCGCCATTCCAATTGGCGAAGATTAAGATGCGGCGTGAAGCTCGATTCCCCGATGAAGGAGATCGGAGTCCTACACGACCCCGAGAGAGTGAGAGGAATCGATTAAGAAAAGAAATTACTCTCCGGCCGCAGTTGAAACCCTAGGTTTTTGGATGTTAGAGCATCCCTTTTATTTTTTCTCTTCGGAGCCGCATTGTCGAGGATTTATTTTCTTTCCTAAAAATGCTACTACTACTCCTTCTCGTTTGGTGCGGAGAGATGGGCATCGCCACCGCTGCCACTTACTAAATTTTGGGGGAATCTCCTTCTAGCTATAGGCATATTGTTTTGTATTTTAGCCACGTGTCAACTTTTAGGGTCATCCACCTATGTTGATTCTTTGTCCGCCTGAAAACGACCAAAGGACTGCACTCGATTGTGAGAGTAAAAATTAGGAAAATAAGACTCTTCCAACACTATCATTTTTTAGAGCTGGTCTCTTGTTCGCACCTCAACTATTGCAACACCATCATTATGACAACCCAATTGCCAGTGTGGTTTTTTTTTTTTGAGAAGGTAACATCTCAATTGCTGGTATTTTTAAAAGTGAAAAGAAAAAAAAAACATTATGGGCCTTGAAGCGAAAAACGAGAAATGAAGTGCATTATTTTTTTAGGCGAAGCGCACAATTTTAGTATTAATAAGTATCAAACAGTTATGAACTACTAAAATAACTAATTATCGCATCAAATTACAATAATGCTGGTATTAATCGATTTCTTAATCACTTCTAGTTGTGATCACTTTGCGTGTCATTTTCTGAAGCTTACACCTTGTTTTTTTCTTTTATAGATAATGATAACGGATTGTATTAGAAAAAAGAATCAGCACTAACCAAGTGCAAGAAGTGAAGTAACAAATTATGCAATTCACCAATCATGTCTGAACTCTTAAGCTTACACTTTGTTGAAGTTCATGACTTCAACTATGAAGCTATGATCCTCACTATGCATCGCTTTAAGTAATGAAACAATGGTTTTAGATAATATCGTCAAGTATTAAACACCATATTTGGAGGAAAGGTTCACTCCAGTATAAATAAGTCCAATCAAGAAATGGGATAGGCCACCATACTCTATGAAATCAAATGGAAATGAAAGACCAACTAGAGAGAACAAGAAGAAAACTGCATTTAGTGATGCGAGTAACCAAATTTCTTTTATGGATATATTCAGCCCATCGAAAATCCTAGGTTAACAAGCACAATCCTACTACCACTGCAGTGTGACTTACCAGATTATCCTACAATGCAATTGGAATCAACTCAAAGCAGTCGAGTTAATCAAAACAAAGAATAAACAATCTTATTCATAATTCAACTAAAATCAATTGAAAAAAACAGTTAACAAATAATAGGAATAAGAATTTTACTGGAAGATCAATGGTAAGTTGACCAATGAGAATTGAAGAAGTGCCCGCCATTCCAATTGGCGAAGATTAAGATGCGGCGTGAAGCTCGATTCCCCGATGAAGGAGATCGGAGTCCTACACGACCCCGAGAGAGTGAGAGGAATCGATTAAGAAAAGAAATTACTCTCCGGCCGCAGTTGAAACCCTAGGTTTTTGGATGTTAGGGCATCCCTTTTATTTTTTCTCTTCGGAGCCGCATTGTCGAGGATTTATTTTCTTTCCTAAAAATGCTACTACTACTCCTTCTCGTTTGGTGCGGAGAGATGGGCATCGCCACCGCTGCCACTAACTAAATTTTGGGGGAATCTCCTTCTAGCTATAGGCATATTGTTTTGTATTTTAGCCACGTGTCAACTTTTGGGGTCATCCACCTATGTTGATTCTTTGTCCGCCCGAAAACGACCAAAGGACTGCACTCGATTGTGAGAGTAAAAATTAGGAAAATAAGACTCTTCCAACACTATCATTTTTTAGATGTTCTTTTTAGTTGAAGGGAGGTGTTCTTTTTTTGTGGAGCTTTGGACTCAACTCTTGTCCAGAGTTGTTGAGTTATACTTTGTGAAGGTTGTTGTATCCTGGAGGGGACAAGTCAAAGAGGACTACTTCTGGACCGGTGAAAAGTATTTGCTGCAGTGGGCTTGAATCTCCTTAAAGAAAGCGAGATATCTGCGCCTCAGCCTGAAGAGATTTATTTCTTCATTTTTATTTTCAATTGTAATCTTGTATTTTTTGTTATCTTGTAAGTTTTTCACTAACAATTTTAAGGAGATTCAGTAATGGCTACAATTGAAATAATCCCAGATGTCAAGATGGAGACTTGAACAAGTCATTTCGGCTCAATGATAACCATTTCAAAAGATGGAAGGGTAAAGTACTTTTCTACTTAAGTCTTCTCAATGTTTCTTATGTGTTAACTGAGAAGAATCCTAATAAAAGTGATGACACCTTCATGGATGATGATGAACTTATTTCTCATCAAGAGAAAGAGGCAAGGGGCCAAGATGCACTTTTACAAAAAGAAAAGAGCAGCATCACAATAAAGGTAAATTTAATTACTTCAAACAATGCTACTCTTGAAACTCACAAAAATATTTCTTTGAAGTCTAAGAAGAAAAAATTTAAGAAAAATAATTGTAGACCTCCCAAGAAAAATAATGGTGAAAATAACCAAGAACAAAATCAACAAGTTCAAGACAAAGGACCGTGCTTTATTTGTGGCAAGAGTGGGCATATTACTCGATTTTACAGATTTCGAAAGCGTGGTCCTAACCCTCAGGCAAACGTTACCGAAGAACCTTTTGTGGCAGTGATTACCGACATAAACATGGTTGAGAATATTGATGGATGGTGGGTAGATTCTGATGCAAACCGTCATGTCTATTAGGACAAAGACTGGTTGTCACACCCCTTTTCGTGCACGGCGGCGGAAGGGTTTTTCCAATTTAAGTGACGTTATTGATTAGGGATTATTTTATTTTTTCTTCAGAGTCGCCACTTAGAATTGAGTTAAGGTGTTCCAAGTCACCTTTTGTTTAATCCCTAATCAAAAGAAAATGACTCTTTATATGGTCTGTTAACTAGAAATTCGGGTAAGGAATTCTGTTGACCAAGGGGAAGGTATTAGGCATCCCTCGAGTCCCGTGGTTCTAGCACAGTCGCTTTTATTGACTTCTACCTACTTTAAATCATTTGTGGATATATTATTTTTAGGTCATGACTTATTTGCATTTTTATTGTTGAACTTTTATTTGGTCTCAAATCGAATGCATAACTGCATTCTCGACTTTTGACATATAAATAACTTATGAGCATAATTGTTTTCTTCTCTTGAGTGCATCACCTAATTTTATCTATAAGTGATCTTATTTTAAATTAATGAAAGTTATTATATTTTTAGACAAGATGCGTCACTACATCCTTGAGTTTTTTTCAATGTCTCAAAAAGATGCGCAACCGCATTCTTAATTTTTTACAAATATTTTTAACGTGCATAAAACTCATCTAGTATTAAAAGTACTTACTCTTATTTTTCTGAATTCTAGACAACTAATCTTCTCATTTCATTATTATATTTATTGATGATACTTTTAATTAAATTAATCCAAATGTTAAAATATATATTAGAATAATTTTATCAAGGTGTGTCACCACATCCTTGAATTTCTTTTAAGTGTTTCAAAATAGATGTGTAACCACATGCTTAATTGAAACAAATATTATTATTTTTTACATGCCTAAAACCCATCTAATGCTATAAGAAAATATTAAATAAAATCAAATAAAATACAACAAATCTAAACTTCTAGGATATAATATAAATTTTGGATTATCTTATATTCTTTTATTTCTATTCACCCTTAAAGTTAATGTTAAAATTAGGCCTACACATATTATATTTTTATTTATTTTTTTAAATAAAATAAAAAAGAATTGCATAGCAGAAATGATGACAAAATAAACTATTCATACACTCTTTTTAGAGAAAAGAAGAGTGTATCCCAATCACCAAGCTTGACTTTTTAGCCACTACTTTGCACGCTAGCCTTCATGAAAGCTCCAACAATTTCAATTGTCTTTTCCTGAGAATTGAGAGAATTATCATATTCTTTGTCATCACATATTATTTCGATGAAGTGTACATCATTATGCGCCGGTAGAGGATTCTTAGTAACATTTGGGGGGTCATCATTTTGAACCACAATCATCTTTGTTTGAATCATCTCTTCCACCTTTCTTCTTAAATTTCGACAATCTTCAGTACTGTGCCCTGGAGCATCAGAATGGTATGCACACCGTATTGTAGGATTGAAACCTTTTGCATGTGGATCCACATAATTTTGAGGAATTGGCTATATCATATTCAAACATTTCAATTTCTCAAATACACTTGTGTAAGACTTTCCAATTGGTGTGAAATTGTTCATAGGTATTTGACCTCCCTCAAATCCCTGTCGAACATTTTGATTTGTTGGTGCTCTCCATTGAGGATAGTTTGGTGGATATGCATATGGTTGTGCACCATAGACTGCATATTGAGATGGGACAATAGAGTATTGTGTATCTTGCCTGGGGAGATAGTGATGAAATTGAGGTGGTGCATATTGATAAACTGGACCCCTTGGACCATTTTGTGTGTCTGACACAACATTTACTACATCATCCTTCATTTTCTTTCCCCTAAGATTTCCTGATCCATTTTTAATCACATGTGTTGTAGCTTTCAAGGCAGCTTGACTTACAATTTTTCCAGACTTGATTCCATTTTCCACCATTTCACCAATCTTAATAACTTCAGCAAATGTTTTTCCAACAACGGAAAGTAAATAATGAAAGTAGTCTGGTTCTTGCGCTTGAAGGAAAACATCAATCATTTCAGACTCTTTCATTGTCGGCTTAACCCTAGCAGCTTGCTCCCTCCACCTAATAGCATATTCACGAAAATTTTCGGTGGTCTTCTTCCTCATGTTGACAAGTGAGGTACGATCTGGAACTATGTCAATGTTATATTGAAATTGTTGAACAAAGCATCGAGCCAAATCATCTCATGTATGCCAGTTAGAAGTATATTGATCTATAAATCATTCTGAGACAATTCTCATCAAACTTTCCCCAAAATAAGTCATGAGCAATTCTTCTTTGCTTCCAGCCCCTCTCAGTTGATTACAATATCTCTTTAAATGAGCTACAGGATCTTCATGTCCATCATATTTTTTGAACTTTGGAGTTTTAAAACTGATGGGTAGATGAACGTGGGGAAACATGCACAAATCATTGAATGAAATACTTTTGTGACCTCCCAATCCTTGGATATCTCTTACACTCTGTTCCAAACTCTTCATTTTTCTAGTCATTTCTTCATGTTCCTCGTTCTTAACAGCTTTTTCAGCCTCAACATGGGAACTATATTGATGAGTGTGAGGGTAAGAACTTGGAATTTTAAAAGCCAATTCAGGAATATAGTCTCGATCATATTGAACTTTGGGTAGAGGATCGTTGTTGGATTTTGGCTCCATTATAGGTTGTTGAACGACGTTAGTCGGCGCAGTTGGAATGAATAATGGATTACTTGTCATAGGCGTACTCAAAGGGCGCACCGTAGAAGTTCCAGCTACGTTGGATGCGGGACCGAATTCAGGTGGATAAATTGGATCACTTATCGATACTTGGATAGATGGTGACATATTTGTATTTAGATAGTCACGGATTAAAGGCGGTGGAGCTTGTCCACTCATCCAAGGTTCGTACATCTCCGTCATTTGTTGTTTTAGTATCCTTATCTTTTCGGCCGACACTGTTTCTTGTGAAATCATCTGGTTCTGGACCTCATCATTGTCCGACTCATTTCCGTCTTTGTGAGTCATTTTCTTTTTCCCTTTTGACCTTGTATTGTAGGGATGGGATGTCAGCTTAACCACAAATTAACCACCTTAATTTAACTGTGCATAAATAATAATGTTTGTTCGGGTTAGACCTTCTTCAGTTATGAGTTTTTTTTTTTTAATGATTTAATAATGCATTGATCAAATCCGTTTGAGATTGCGTACGTAACACGCTTGCGAACATGACTAAGATCTTTGCATATTCTTTCAAAAACTCAATAACTAAGTTTTTCTTTTTTAGAGCTTTGAGACAAAACTCTTTAGTTTTTTTTTTTGTTGAATTATTAAAGGAAAATTAATAAAATCTTGTTTTTCATAAAGATTAAAACTTCTTGTTTTTCTTTTTTTTTTTAACTTTTGAAAAAAGATTTTATTTATTTATTTTTGAATAAAGATCACCGAACCCAAAGAGGGTTGCCTACGTATCTCATTGAGGTGAGAATCAGGTGTGCGTAGTTCGTCCAGTTTGGACAGTTAAAGATTTTAAGATATTAAAACTTTTTTTTTTTGACAAATGCATTATTTATTATTCAAGAATTCCTAAACAAATACATTTTTCATGTAGCTCATAAAAAAATCTAAGTGGTCAAGTAAGAGATGTATACTTGTCCTAGATGGACTCAATTCTTATATCAAGTCACTATGTCAAATACAAATTATGCAAATGAGGGGAGCCTACTAGTTGTAACCATGACCTAAAGGAGATAGGTGTTTAGATTGGCTTACTCAAGTGGACAACTCGAGCTAGGGAAGGGCAAT